TTTCATATGATAGCAACCCCCTTCTTGATTCTTTATACTTTTCATATGCAGTGTTGGTTTTATTCATGAAGTCTCTGCTTAACAACTGTGTCTTTAAGATTTTTGTCAAATTTGTCTTTCAGTAGATTTAGTGTTTCTGTGGGTTTCTTTTTACTTTTTTGAGACAGGGTCTTTCTATATTGTATAGGCTGGCCTTGAACTCAACATGTAACCCAGGCTTGCCTCAAATTCACAGTGATTGTAAAGCCTTCTCCTCTTGAGTGCTGAGATTCACTGTTTCAATATTTAGATCTTTGATCTATTTTGAGTTTAGTTTAGTGAATGGTGATCAACTTGGGTGTAGTTTTGGTCTTCAGCGTGTAGAAAACCAGTTTTTTAGCACCATTTATTAGCGTGACTATCTTTCTTCCAGTGAACTTGTTTAGCCCCTTTGGCAAAGATAAGGTCACTGAATGTGTTTGGAGTTTTATCTGAATCTTTTAATGTGTTCCAGTGATTTGGAACATATTAAATTTGTTCATTTGTAAGTACCATACTGATTTTGTCACTGTAGCTTTTTAGTGAAATTTCAATTAAGAAGGTGATCCACTGCTTTGTCTTAGTTGTTGAGAATTACTTTTTTGTCTCTTCTGTTTCCAAATGAAATTTTGAAATGTTTTCTCTAGTTATCTGATGTATGCTTATGGTATTAATTGTAATTGTATTGAATCTGTAGAATACTTAGAGGACTGTGGCCATTTTCATTATGTGGGTTCTTCCTATCCACAAGCAAGGAATATCTTTCTAGTTTCTGATACCTGTTTCTAGCTTCTTTTTCAGAGTATTATAATTTTGAATGTACAGATCTTTTGCTACTTTTATTAGATTGATTCCCAATCTAATTGATTCCCTTTTATTAGATTGATTCATTTTTGGGGAATGCCATTGTGAAGGGTATGGTTTCCCTAATTTTTCTCACAGTTGTTCATGTATAGGAAAGCTATTTATTTTTCATTATTGCCTTTTTCCCAGCTTTAATAATGAATTTGGTTATTAAATCTACAAATCTTTTGGTGGACTGTTTGATTTCTTCTATGTAGAATATTATGTCATATACAAATACTAATACTTTAACATCTTTTATTCCTATCATTTTTAAATTTTTGTCTCTTTTGTAATAGCTCTGGTTAATGTCTCTAGAAATACATTAAACAGGAGTGGTAATATTGGACATCCTTGTCTTATTCCTGATTTCAGAGTGTAAGCTTTTAGTTATGATGTTTCTTGTTGGTTTGTGATACATGACTTATAAAGACCATTTATTCCAACTTCCTGTAGGATTTTATCAGGAATGGGTTTTGTGTTGTATCAAATATTTTTCTGAGTCTATTAAGAGTGTAATGTGATTTTTGTCTCTGGTTATGTTAATATCATATATTATGTGTATTTATTTGTGTATGTTGAACCAGCCTTGCATTCCTGGGATGATCCTTAGTGTATAATATAGTGTATAATATTCTTGATGATTTGCTGTGTTGTGTTTTCCAGTATCTTGATGATTTTTGCTTCTATGTTCATTAGGGAGATTGTCCTATAATTTTCTTTTGTGGCTGGGTCCATCTCTGGTTTTGATATCAGCATAATACTTATAACTTTCAAAGGTGCTTCCCTTTCAATTTCATTAAAGTGTTTCACTATTCATGTCATTAGTTCTTGTCTAAATTTCTTGAAAGTAGCAGTGAATTCTTCAAGATCTTTGCCTGTCTTTATTGGCAAGTTTTTATTAGATTTTTATTTTCACTGATGATATCAGGTTATTTTGAATTTTTATATATTTTTAAATTAGTTTTGGCAATTGTATATGTAGGAATCTGACTATTTCTTTTCTGTTTTCTGTCTTGTTACACTGCAGGTTTTCAAATTAGAGTTGATGTTTTGGATTTCTCTAGGATCCATTGTGATTTTCCCCTTTTATTTCTAACTGCTTGAATTTAGATCTTTTGTTTCATCTGTTTGAAGAGATTGGCAAAGGAATAATCAGTTTTAATCAATCTTTCAAACAAATAATTCTGATTCATTAATTTTTAAAAATTATTATTTTTAGTCCCTATTGCATTAATTTTTGCTCTCAGTTTATAATTTCCTTTGCCATTTGAGGTTTGGGATTTTTTTCCCTCAAACTAGGTTATTTATTTGAGAATTCATTGCTGTAAATTACTCTCATGTAGTGCTTTTTTTGTGTCCCCTAACTTCTGATATATTCTTTCAGCATTATTGTTTAAGATACTGTTTAATGTCTTACTGAATTTCCTCTGTGACTTATTGACTTGTTCTGGAGAATGTTGTTTAATTTCCATGTGTTTCTGTAGTTTTTCAGTTTCTGGTACTGATGATTTCCTTCATTGTACTGTGGTCTAACTTCATTGCACTGTAGTCAGATAGCATGCATGGGATGATTTCAGTATCTCTGCTTTTACTTATGTCTGTTATTTGGTCTATTTTGGAGAGCATCCCCTGTGCAGCTGAAAAGAATGTGTATTCTGATATTATAGAGTGGAACTTTGCGTAGACATCAACTAAGTCCCTTTGTTCACAGGTTTGATTTAATTCTGACACTTGTTGATTTCTTGTCTTGTTGATGTATTTGTGAGAGTGGGATTTTAAGGTCCCTTATTGCAATTATATATGCTTATGTGGTTTTTCAGGTCTGTTAATATTGTTCTATACATTTGAATCCACACATATTTGGCACATATGTATTTCAATTTTTACCACTTCTTTTAGTTTTCCTATAGTTATATAGTGATTTTTGTTCTCTCTTGATTTCTAGTCTCATTGCACATTCCTTTGTAATGCCAATATCTTATTTCTTATTAATCTTGCAAGTTAGTTTTAGTAGGTACATCAATTTCAGTAAGGTTGTTTTCCTTTAAGGTTTAAAATATCTCACTGCCAGCCCTCCTTGATTTGAAGTTTGTGTTAACAAACTGTTAACTGCTATGCTTCTGATAAGCTTTCCTTATATTCATTTTATTTTGTTTTTCTAACTGATTTTACTATTCTGTTCTTTTGCTGAAATTTTGGAATCTTGATTTTTTTTTTTTTTGGTACCAGGGATCAAACTCACAACCTCACACTTCCCAGGCAGGTGCATACACTGATGAGCTAAATCCTCTTGAAATCTTAATTTTTATATTCTTTTGTGTAGATTTATTGTCATTGTGGCTATTTGGTATTACATATGTTTCATTTACTTGTATATCAAATTCTCTATCCATACTAGAAATTTTCTGCTGTTATTTCTGTGAAGAGCTTTATTTTTTATGACTTTTGTGCTATCTTTGGCTTTCAAATTGACTCTGAGCCTTCCTGTGTTGTTTGTTTTTTTTTTTCATTTTTAAAATTATTTTGAAGGTAGTAAAGTACAACAGAACAAGACAGAACAAAGCCAATTGAGACAATGCAGTGAAATTGGTACAGAACATCACAGTAGGTTATTGGGATAACAGTAACATAGTATATCTCATTATCTTCACACTAGTTGTCCTTTCAATCAGGTATAGCAAAATCAAACCAGATACAGAACATTATAGAATTTATCAAAACAGAATATTGAATAAAACAATACAATTAATCAGATCAAAGCAAAACAGTGATAACAATATTTGCCTTAAAGAGATGTTAGAAGGGAACCCCCTATATTTGCTATATTGCATATAGTCAACCTCCCAAGAGATGCTCAGACCTGTGGCTCCGATTTGCTAATGGGAAGGGTGAGATGTTTGAGTTTCAGCTCATGTGCTGGTAGACTCACAGCTGCTTACCAGGGAGGCGAGCAGGTTGCTTTGTTTCCCAGCGCCCTAAGTTCCAACATGGTGTGGATCTCAGGAGACACTGGCTCAGAAGTACTTTTTCCAGCATCTGTTTTTCTTGTGTTGTTCTTATTTACTTCACCTTGTGGCTGTTGGATTGATTTTTATTATCTCCTATTATTTTTAAAATGTCTTTGATTGCTACCCAATTCTATTTCTAGATCTGTCCTTGCCTTCATTCAGTCTGTGTGTATACTTTTAATGCAATTTTTAACATCCAGGATTTGTGTTTGAATGTGTCCATAGTTTTCATTTCTTTGCTATGTTGGACATGTATGATTTCTGTCATTTTCCTTAGCTGGTCTGTATTTTTTTTTAATCTGTGTCTTGTTTAATGTCTTTCATTTTGATCATTTCCTTTAGCAACCCCGACATCCATTGTGTTCTCAAATATGTTGTTCTCATTTCAGAATTTCCAGTGGTTTTCTTCTGATTTCCTCTATCTCATTGTGCTCTGGACTTGTCTTTGTTGGGCTTAGCATGTTTAGTTGCATTTTGCTTTTGTATCCTTTTGTTTTCTTCATTCTCATTTTATTATTTTTAGTGTGTGTTGACACTTGTATATTTCTTATGATAGATGGTTTTATCCCCAGTATGGAAGTATTCATAGTAAATGTCAGTTGTTCAGGGCTTGATTCTCTGGGTAGGTGTTTTTTGATCTTTGTGTTTATTCTGAGAACCTACCTTCATATTCCCAGCATGAAGGATGATGAGAGCATGGAAAAATAAAGAAAAGAAAAGCTGTGGTTAATTGGAGCCCTCTATCCTGATGTGAGAAAAGGAACTATACATTTAGCCAACCCCATTGCCTAGTAATCTGCATATGACATTCTAAAGGCTTGATGTTTTTGAGCCTGGAATCACTTGTTATTGTGATCTAACCTTTGCAATATTTGTTCAAGTGGGTTTGTCTCTCCTGCACAGCTGTGCTCAAATTCCAGTTTCAAGCTGTTGGGACAGCTTGCCAAGCAGCTATGTCTCTGCTGAGGCCTTTCTCCTTTGCTCTGGTTTCCACCTGAGCTGGAGCTTCATGAAATACCCATCTAGGCTCAACAGTCATGTCCTGACTTCAGATTTTTATGAGTTAAGGTGGTTCATGGGGTCAGGAGTCTCAATATTTGTTCTCATTGTAATTATCTGATTATTTAGGAGGCAGTGAACTTTGAGGATGTGGCTGTGAACTTCACTATGGAGGAGTGGGCATTGCTGGATCCTTCCCAAAAGAAGCTTTATAGAGATGTGATGTGGGAAAACTTTAGGAACATGGTTGCTATAGGTAAGGAAAGTATCATTTTCTCTATGGTATATGAGAAAATAAGGTCTTGCACATCAGTGCAGTTTCCTTAATTGCAATATGGAGAGATCTTAATGCATTTTACATTTATGATTACATTATTCTATAAATATAACTGGCATGTATTTTTTAAGCAATATAGTTCATTATAATTCTGTTTGTACATTTTAGAGAAAAACTGGGATGAACAGCAAATTGAACATGAATACAAAGAGTACAAGAGAAATATAAGGTAATTTTCACTCTGAAAATATGAATGTTTAAGGGTCAGGATGCAAGCAGAAATAGTAAAACCAAGCATACTGTACAATAGAGGTCTGTTCAAATGTTTTTAATCTTATGAAATTTCTACATAGATGTATACATGTTGAGTATCTCTAATCTGAAAATTGTATGTTTGAAATTATTCCAGTATCTCAGACGTGCTACAAGTGAAAATATCTAATATATAAGAATCAAATTATTTTCCATGCTGGAGATTATTTAAAAATTGTGTGAAATTACACTGAAATATTGAACATAGACTTATATAAAACATACATTATGTCTGGACTAAAATTCAAGTTCATTATGTGTATCTATGTATACATATTACTGTGTTGAAAAGACCACTTTCATGTGAAATAAATTATGTAAGCAATGCTGTCTGTTTATAAAAATAGTAAACACATTGAACATGTGCCTAACTGTTGTTTTTTAAATTTTATTTAAAAGGAAAAAGAGAAAAACACAAAACAAAACAAAGCGGTGTAAGGGTACACGTAATACAGAACTACAAAAAAAAAACAGTAAGAAATCACCTGTTAATAGATTACATATTATCATCTTAGAAATAGTTGCTCAAATCACAGTATCAAAGAATACAAAGTGGACATTCAAATAGAGAGACTGCAAACAGCTGTGTTCAATGATCCAAAAACATTAATATAGTCAGCTATTTAACACCCCTAAACACACTTGCTGTTATATCCGTTAGAGCTCTTTTTTTCCCCTCTCTTTTTTACAACAAAATTTACACATTTGCCTAACTGTTAATCATGTGGAGATATTGAAAAAGCAAATGAATGCTATAATTTTGATAACTAAATCCTTTTGGAAAATCCTCCATACCACTCATTCCACTCATGTTCAAAAACATTAGGATACACCATCCCATATTCTTAGTCGGCAACTCATAAAGCATAACATTAATGGAAATGTGCAAAGAGATTTTTGAAAAGAGTAAAAAGAGAAATTCTACTTTACTTGGAATCGTGGTGCATCAAGACATTGATGTATGAGGATTGCCGAGAGGTAGCAGTCAGGCTGGGCTACATGGAGAGTTAAAGCCAGTTTGACTGTATAATGAGACAGTGTTTACAAAAAACATAGAACCTTTGTTTTATCCAGGTATGCTTCTCCTGGGTATCTTCCTTTCAAGGCTAAAATACACATATTATAATACATGCTTGCCCATCTTTCTAGCAGTACAATGTACAATATCTAAACTCAGGAAGCATCCTGCATGCTCATTCACCAATGAACACATTAAAGCAAATGAGTATCCTCAATGTAATAGTAACATGTTCTGCATCTTAGTACTATGTAAATCTATATTAGGAAAGACATACATTGATATTCAGCTTAGGTAATAGTATTTGCTAAGACTGTGTTAAAATTTTTTTAATAAAAAGCCTGGAATATAGCTCAGTGCTAAAACTCTGGAATCCATCACCAATACTGAATCAAATGTGGTATGTCTACCTAATGGAAAAATACTCACCATAAAAAAGAGTGAAATGAAGTCACGTAACAGAATGTAAATGAATTCTGTAGTCATTATCTTATGCTTAATGTATGAGACATAAATATCACTACACGTTATCCTTTGCATGAAAACCCAAAAATGTAAATTAAGTGGTAGAGGAGAGACAGTATAAAATAGACCAGTGGATGATTTAGAGAATGTTAAGAAATTCAGAAGAAGGCAGAGGATATTGAGTCCTGGATGAATGAGTATCAACACTTGCCAACATATGCTATTATAAAAAATGAATTACTAAAAAGAAAGTGTTATATTTTAGATATGTGAATTATAAACTCACTGCATTACACTTTTGGTAAATAAATGTTGTTTTCAAGCCATGATTCACAATATACAGTAAATTCATGATCGAATATTTTTAGAAGACAACTAACCTGATTTCTTCATAGTAAATCATTAATAAAAAGACTAATTTTTCTTTTGCAGGAAAGAAGTTATAAAATACTTGCAGTATAAATTATGGTATCCACATGAAGAAATGAGATTTTGCATTCCATATGTTAATATGAACATGAAACCATTCAGTACAAAATCAAGTGAACAGTATGCTTACAGAAAGTCCTTAATTGGTAACTTGTTGCCAGAAGTTCCCATCATACCTAACACAAGTATCAAACCACAGGAGTATCAAGAATTTGAAGATGGGAAAACCTGCACTGACTTCCACTGCTTTCACAAGCATGCAAACAAAAATCCTGGAGAGAAACCCTATGAATGCCAGGAAAGTTTTAAATGCCACTCTGATTATCCTGAAGGAGGCAACACTGAAAAAAAGTCATTTGTCTTTGAGCAAAATGTGGAACCTTTCAATACAGCCAACAGTGTTCAAACAGGGGAAAGAAACCTCAGTGTAGTGAATAATTATGTATATATACAATATGCAAAACATTTCCAGTCTCAGCATGATATTCAGATACATGAAAGGGCTAACACAATAGAAAATCACTATGTGAGTAAACAGTGTGGAACAGTATTCAGTAATAACACTTCACTTGGGAAATGCAAAAAAATTCACAGTGTGAAGAAACGGTATGTATGTAAGCAATGTATGAAATCCTTTACTACACACAGTGATTATAAAAGACATGAAAGAACTCACTCTGGGGAGAAGCCCTATGTTTGTAACCAGTGTGGGAAAGCTTTTGCAAGACAGAGTCATTGTAAAAGTCATGAAAGAACTCATACTGGAGAGAAACCATATGTATGTAAGCATTGTGGGAAAACTTTTAGCAGACACAGTAATTGTAAAAGTCATGAAAGAACTCACAGTGGGGAGAAACCCTATGTATGTAACCAATGTGGGAAAGCCTTTAGCACACACAGGTATTATCAAATACATGAAAGAATTCATACTGGAGAGAAACCATATTTTTGTTTCCAATGTGGAAAAGCATTTAAATGCCAAAAGGAATGTAAACTACATGAAAGAAACCACACTGGAGAGGTACGGTATGTATGTGACCAATGTGGAAAAGCATTTAAATCCCGAAGTGGATGTAGAATGCATCGAAGAACTCATACTGCAGAGAAACCCTATGTATGTAACCAGTGTGGGAAGGCCTATGCCACAAACAGTCAGTGGAAAAGACATGAAAGAACTCACTCAGGGGATAAACCCTATGTATGTAAACAATGTGGGAAAGCATTTATTTCCCTTTTTCAATGTAAAATACATCAAAGAACTCACACTGGAGAGAAACCATATGTATGTGACCAATGTGGAAAAGCATTTAAATCCCCAAGTGGATGTAGAATACATCAAAGAACTCACACTGGAGAAAAACTCTATGTATGTAACCAGTGTGGCAAAGCCTACACCACACACGATCATTATAAAAGACATGAAAGAACTCATTCTGGGGAGAAGCCTTATGTATGTAACCAATGTGGAAAAACCTATACCACGAACAGTCAATGTAAAAGACATGAAAGAACTCACACTGGAGAGAAACCCTATGTATGTAATCAATGTGGGAAAGCCTTCACCAGAAAAACTTACTGTAAAACACATGAAAGAAGCCATTTTAAGGAGAAAGCTTATGTATGTACAATGTGGGAAAGCCTTCACCAGACACAGTCATTGTAAAAGGCATAAAAGGACTCACAGTAGGTAGAAATCCTGTATATATAAACAGAATGGGAAATTTTTCAATAGAAACATTGTCAAAAACATGAAAGACCTAAGTTTCAGGAGAATCCATATTTATGTAAGCAGTGTGGGAAAGCTCTGCTGTCAGTCATTTCCAAAGACCAAGTTCTCTGAGTTTATATAATTAAATGGTATGAAAATGCATTAATTACACACACATATAGTGGGTTGTGAAATAAGCAATGGACAAAAGCCTCAGTAACCTAGTAATCATCACAGATTTAAAAATGTAATGGAATTTATTGTGCATATATAGATAAGATAACTTAAACAGTTAAAGACAGTTGACAGTCTTTTCAAGAAACTGAAGGAATCTTTCAATACATAGATACATCACTACATAGATTAAGGCATAAGTAATGATGAGAATCTGAATATCTGTGCACAGTGTGGGAAAGATTTTTATGTTTCTCAGTGAATTTGAAAAAATTCTCATGTGGGCAAAGTCATATCTATGTCATTAGTGTGGCAAATCTTTGAATTTTTTTCACTTCAACATAAATAAAAAATTCATAATAAAGGGAAACCTTGTGAGGGTAATTTTAGAACCATTTTGTAATTCCTGTAACTTCAGAAAACATGCATCCACACAAAAAGATAATATAGATGATTTGAGTTGTCCTCATTTTGACCTTTCATGTGTATATGACAATTCATAGTGGAAAAATAAATATCAGTGTTTTGGGGGTATCTGTAGTCATCTTGCTTTTTTTATTTTTCAGCTGAACACAATTCTGTGAAAAACCATTAAAATGATATACAAAAACCTTTGTCATACATAGAATATTGCATATTGAGTTAAATTCCTATGAATATACTGTTATAACTCAGAGTTTGAAAATCCTTTGAACATTTCTCATGTAATGCAAATATGTACAAGGAAATATTGTAAATATTGGGTATCTTATTTTCCTTGAAATGCAGGAACAGGAGATATCTTCAGTTGTAAACACAGTATACTGTTAAAATTTCTGGAGTATAAGTCTCATTTTGAGAATACACATTTTACTAACAAATGTGGGGCAACATGACTCCACAACTGAACTTTAGTTAATTTTTCTGATTTTGTTCTAGATTCTATTTAAATGGCTTGTTCACATAGTCCATTTTTCTAAAAAATACTTGTATATTGAAATGCTTAATGATTATATGTTCAGTTGTTTTTAACCACCTGTAGATTAACATATCTTTTCTATGTTTGAAGATATCTATGTATTACCCAATATAATTACAGATAATACATAGTACAAGATTGTGTATTATATGTGTCATTATATTCATATGTATACAATTTTCTGCATTGGTTACCACATAAAATTTTCTTGTCTTAGGCATATTGCCGTATAATTTAGTGGTAATATTTCTGTCAGTCATCCCACTAAACAAAATGCACTTCTATAAGTCTCCATGGCAGAGTCCAGAAGGAGCATGTGTTTTTGTCAGATAGTATGTAATTTATTGTTAGTCTCCTCACATACTATAAATAATGAAATAGTTTATCATTAAAAACACTCATTTTTTTTCACTATTTCTTTATGCTTTTTGTTTTTACTCCTTTGTTGTTTCTGGTGCTGTCAGCGAAACCCAGGGCATCAAAGTTTCCATGCAAACACTGTCACTGAGTTCCATCCCCAGTTTACTTTTTTACAGTTGTTTTTAGTCTTTTCTCCTTTTTAAATCATATATTTTTCTTCATTTTTTCCTTTTGATTTTCCCAATTCTATAAATATCCCTCTAGTACCAACAAAATGCTTCGCTTCATTTCTTACTTTGGAATGTCATAGCATATATATCGAAGTTTCAATTTTTTTCTTCAATTTCCCCGTTCACAAACCAACCCATCTTTAAGAATATCACCATGGTGCTTTATTGGTCTTCAGATAGTTTTTTTTTTATAAAATTACTCTTGAATTATTTTGTACCACTACAATTAGGATTAGATTAATAGATATACTTAACATCAAAACTGAACTTAGAAAATATAAAAATTCTTCAGTCTAATATCCATAATAAAATTAAAGGAGAAAATTTAAAACTAGCAATGTAGAAAATCTGAGTGTGGCAGTGTCACTACAGAATTGCATGGCAACCTTAGACAAAATCTAACCCCGATGTTCTTCAGATTCTATAAAGAAATAGAAATGGAAGTAGTAGTCCCAAAGTCATTCCTAAAAGCAAACATTCCACAATCAGAAAAGGATGCAAGTAAGAAGTACAGAGTCATCCAAGTAGGCACTGGAAGGTGTGGCATTGGTCGCCATACCTAGGAAAGTAGCACAGTGACCCAGCAAGGTCCTGGTGGGGGTACACATGATGAGCAGGCAGGATCAATGCTCTGGAAAAGCATGAAACAGCAGTGAATGTGAGCCAGCAGTTGCTAAGTTAGGTGAGCCAGGGTTATGCTTTGGCACACAGACATGGGGGGGGCATCATTTTTTTAATCAAAAGACTTAGGGATGGAGGGAACTCAGTCAGTAGAAGACCAGTTCCAGGTCCCTACAGCCAAAGGCCAAGGTCAGTCCCATACCCTGCAAACCTGACTGGAGCACAGAACTCATTTCTATGTGTGACTTGGAACTATGACAGAAAAGACACTAAAGGGCTGTTACTGCTCACTATTTCTGGTACATTTTTTTCCTGTTCCATTTGGATTCTTATTGTTTTGTTTTGTCTTGTTTTCTCTTTGTGGTTATTTTTATAGTTTGTTTTTCCTCTTCTGTTTTTCTACTCTCATGTGTTACGTTTTAAAAATTTTTATTTTCTTCTACTCAGCTTCTGTCTCTATCAGTCATTGCACCTTATAGAACCCCAATAGAAAGAAACCATTAGACAGAGCAAGCAATTAAACAATGGAGAAAAAAACCATCAATAGGAAAATACCATGACAAAGCTTGCTAATAACCATTAATGTAAATGGTCTCAACCCTAACCATTAGGATGAAGGCATCTGCCTAAGGCAGAGTTGGCAGGCTCATGAGATTGAAGTGGTCACAAGACAGGGACCCCGTCTACTTAGCTGACTTGTCCCACTGTACCGTGGACTTGGTCTGTGTGTTCAACTGGCTTTCTTTTTTCTGCCACATCAGGATTTTCTTCTGTTTTGTTTACTGATGTGTGGTTATTCTTGTTTTTCCTCTTTTCCTTCTTTTTTAATTCTACACTCTTTATTTCACAACATAGATTCTTTAACTTTTTGTTTTCTACTCAACTTCTCTCTTTAGTCAACTAGGGTTCTTGATAGAATACCAATAGAAAGAAGCAACCAATCAGGGCAGCAATTAAACACAGAGGAAAAGCAGTCAACCAACAACAGGAAAATAATATGAAAAAGATAAGCCAATACTTATCATTTACAACCAGCAATATAAATGGTCTCAACTCTCCAGTCCAAAAAAAAAAAAAATAAGACTGACATAATGGATCAAGAAGCAAGGTCCAACAATATCCTGCAGTCAAGGAAAACATTTAACTCCAAAAGAAACTCAGAAACTAAAAGTGAATGGGTGGAAACTACTCTCTGCAACAGGAACCCCAAAACAGGTACTGGTACCTATTTTTGCCCAAAATAGAAATTTCAAGCAAAGGCTGATCAAAAGAGACAAAGAAGGTCAATACATACTTGTTGAGGGAAAACTCCAAGAGGAAGATATAATAATAATAAATATATATGCATATGTTATTGATCCATTTGTCAAAGATCAGAGCACTGTACATACCTGCTTAGATTATGCATTCTCCATTTTGCTTCATTTATACACACATCTGTTTTTTCCACTAAGATGTCAATTCTGTCATTCTAGTTTTGTAAAAAAATTTTGAAGTCTGGGATTATGATTCTTCTAGCTCTACCATTGGTGCTCAGGAAATCTTTGATATTTTGAGTAGTTTCTGTTAAAAATGCTGTTGGTGTTTTGATTGCCAATGGATTCAGGCTTTCCATCAGTCTTAGTTATATGGTCATTGTGACAATATTGGTTCTCCATACTCAGAAACAGCATATGCATTTTTGCTTTTTGAAGTGTTCTTTGTTCTCATTTTCCAGAACACTGGTTTTCCTCATAGAAATCTTTCACTTGTTTTCTTAGATTATTGTCACCATATTTAAATATGTCAGTGTTGTAGTTGTTAGTATTGTTTTCCTGATTTCTTTCAGTGGCTTCATTTTATACAGAAATACTATTGATTGTGATTGAGTTTTGTATCCTACTTTCCAATATTTGTTTAATAAGTCTAAAGCTCTACCATGGAATTTTTTCAATAGTCTATGAAAAGAATTACCACATCTACAAATAAAGCTAACTCACTCTATCCTCTATGTTTTCTTTATGTTTCTTTCTCTTCTCCAATTGTTCTGCCTAAGTTTTGAATACTACATTAAATAGGAGTGATAAGGGCTAGCAACCTTGTCTTAAGTCTGATTTTAGGGCAAAAGGATTAAAAAATTCTGTTTAATATGATGTTGAATGAGTTCATTATAAACGACTCATCAGACTGAAATAAGGTCTCATGGTAAATAGTTCAGAATTTGACTCTGAATGTATTGCAATTTGTGAAAGATTTTTTTCTGCATCAAAGGAGATGATAATGTGATTTTTGTTCTTGATTTATTTATGTGGCGTATTGTATTCATGACTTTAAAAGCCTTCTGAAACACTCCCTGCATGTTGTCCTCTGGCTAAGTCACCATTCTCTGCACTCTTCACAGTGATCCCTTTCTTTCTGAAAAGCATCTCTTAACTGCCTATATGTATGCTGTTTCCTCAGGGACACTGTGGAATTCAACGGCTTTATGTAGAGAAGGCAGGGATGCCTGATGCGTTACTGATGGTGAGTGTTGAGGAACTGAGCAGAATATCCTGGGAACACAAGCCTCAAGGAGTTTGGAGAAGAATAAATGAGTGCCAGTTTGTTTTTTGTTACTCTCAAGTGTGTTGACACTTGCTGTTTCTGCCACTGACAAAATACCTAGTGATGACACTTTTCTCTGCATTCAAATTGAGTCTTAGTATGCTCTAATTTTTAATATTTCTTGGGATCCATCAGTTCTTTTTCAGATTTCTTTCTTTCAGTGGTCTGCAAATATATCAATTGCTTTTCCTATTTTGACTGGGGAATGTAGAAGAATTAGAAACCTATGTTAGTGACCTGCCCCTGATGAATTTCAGGTTCACTTCCTCAGGTTTTTGTTCTCCTCCCAGATGAAATATAAGCTGGACATATGTTGCAATTGGGCAATGGACTAAGAAAGGTCTCACTTCCCATTGAAAAGCTCTTTTTCTTCTTTTAGGTGTGATGTTTTTCCCCTTCATTTTGTCTTTCCATGTGAGTCTTTCTTCATTACCTCCATTTCCACTTCCTCTGTCTTCCTGAGTGTGTCTTAGGAGTCTTTCTCATAAAGTGTTGTGCAAGTTGGCCTTGATGAAGAGCGCAGCCCATTTTTCAAACTATCCTTCTCATTTCCCAGGCCTGTCCCCTGTGGCTACTCTGTTGCTTCCTTCCACACTGTCAAAACATCCAGGACACAGCCTGTGAGTCCAACCCATTGTTGTTGGAATTATCTGTCATAGAACATTTTGTAAAAGTTACCTCTGAATCAGAATAAACATTTATTTTCTATCTTTTATATCTAATGTCTGGATATAAAACACACAATAATGCATATTTCAGAAATTGCCTTTCTGAACTCTGGGTTTAAATTTGCAGCTACAATCACCTATGTCTTCTCACCATCTCTTCTCAGTCTTACCATTTCTTCTGCTTTTCCTGCTTGGCTCATTGTTACTACTTACACTGATAATACTCTCTTGTTCTTTATGCATTATTTTCAGCTGAAGATTGTCTTTTCAGTCAACTCTAGTAAGAGATAATCCAGCAAACATGTTAGCTATTCCTTTAAATATACTTAAACTTCTCCACAGTCCACGGTCAAATTAGAATATCTTCTTCTTCTTCTTTTGTTTTGTACCAGGGGTCGAGCTCACAACATTGCATTTGCCAAGCAGGCACTTACGCCACTGAGCTAAACCTCCAGCCCTTTCATCTTCTAAAGGAAATATAACTTCTTTCACCAGTGATCTACATTTTTTAATTTGCATGCACCATCAGTGTACTGCATACCACATATATCCCTTTTCTTGCCATTTTATATAATTTGAGTAATTCAGCACTTACTTCTGTGTCTTTTTATCATGATGTTTTCAAGTTTCCTCCATATTTTATCATGAAACACAAATGCATGTTTTGTTTTTAAATTTGTACTTCATGAATATGTTGTATGCCTGTTTACTCAGCGAATTATTCACACTGAAATCATGAACTTCAAATAAAAAATAAGCTGTATGCATTCTTATAAACAATTTTTGATTAATGGCTACTATAATATTTCAATAAAATAAAACACAACAAGATAGAACCAATCAAAACAGAAGAACAAAAGCATGGCAGGACTTCAAAACAAGATGATAGTAAATCAGCAATGGCTTCCATAATGTCTTGTTTTCTTCAAAATAGCTGTTCATACCATCACAC